TTTGTAAATAGCTTCACAAGTCCACTTCGTGTACAGCAATTAACCACTAAGAAGAATATATGCAGTGTATTATTTGTTGAAACTGTACTTCCGATTGGATTTGAAACTGTCTCATTGCTATCTGTTTATCAATAAAACTTTGAAAAAACAAAAAAAAATGGGCCATGGGTAAGTCATACAGAACCTAAAAGTAGGGGAGTTCTGGATGGCAGTGTGAATGAGACTGCCTACATTCCACTTCCAGCTCGAGCACTTACTAGTTGTGTGTACTGGAGAAATTCCTCCACCTCCCTGGTCCTCTGCAAATGTGAGGGATAATAGCTAGTTGCAAAAGCTTGTCTGAGGGTTTAATGAGATAAACGTGCAGTGGCTCAGCACAAGGCATCCAGTCAAATAGTTGGCCATGGGCATTAGTAACATTAATATTGTAACAAAGAACGACAGGCCTGGAGTATATAGAAAACACCCCATACAGATCTAGAACTAGATTTCAGGAAACAGAGTGGTATTGTAATTGATAGCATCAATTTTTTTCTAGTACTAGAGGTTGAACTCAGGGCTTCCACACTGAGATATGTCCTTTACCCTTTTGTTATTGTTTTATTATTATTGTGAGACAAGGTCTCAGTTTCTCAGACTGAGTTTCAATTTGCAACTCTCCTGCCTCAATCTCCGAAAGTGATGGATTACAGGAGTCTCACAGCATCTTGATCCTTCTGTGGATGTCTTGCCCTTAAGTTGGTGCACTGATGGGTTTTGGAGACTGCAGTGCCCAAGCATTCAGGAGCAACCTTTGAACAGCAACCTTGGCCTCCCCTTGCCTCTGTAGAAGTACTTACAAAACATCACGAACACATCCCTTTCCTTGTCAAAGACGACGATGTTGAAGTTCTTCCCCACGAGCTGCTTAACTAGACCTTGGTCCCAATATTTTGGAATCTCTTCACTGGGTTGATGTTTCTAGAAAGCAAATTCAAGAGATCTAACAATGTCTGGAAAGGTACTCAAAATGGGGCTCCCACCCTACTGGGAAACCATGAGGAGATCTTCTCTACAACTTTATTTCCTGCATGTAGAGCTGTTTTTGTCATGGAAATCTGTCTTCTCACTGCTATTGAGATGCCAAATTTTTAATATATTTATAAGGACCTTGCTGTCTGGCCTCTGCCAAGATTACTATCTTTTATTCTATCCCCACCCAGCTTTTGGAAAGGATTTAAAAGACTCCTTCAGTGGAGCATAACAGGGATGGCAAATGAGAAGGTCCCAATATGCACACTTCTCTTTTCTTGGTGATGGATGGGCAGAGTGAAAATAAAATGGGATAAGAAAATAAATAGACTCAGGAATCAAGAAACTTATAGAAATATGCTGGGTTGTTTCTGAGTCTGGTAGGCAGTGTGGATTGTGCCTCCATGAAGTCATCTGAGCTCATGGTAACATTCTCTTTCCCAAGTGTAGGCCTGAAAGTATAGGGAAGTCAAGTGGGATCTGCTAGAGGTGGTCTTTTGCCTGGTGGGCACTAAAAGGAACAGAGAAGGTGGCAGGGAAGGGGATAATGGAGTTGCCACAGTGGGGAGCCATGAACTCCAAGATCATGGAGGAAGACACTAAGGAGACTGTGAAATGGCATCAGGAGATTGGAGGCCATGAGAAGGATGGAGAAACATACCACTGTGTGTCCTGCAGATGAGAACTGAAAACTTGAAATTAGGCATTTGGAGGAGCTGCCATGTCTAGGCTGTAACTATGCGAGAGGTGGCTAGGACAGCTTGGGCCCACCAGTCATTGGAGAAGAGAGTTTACTGTCTCAGATGTGGACAGCTCTGCAGTGAGGGCAAAGGAGGGGTGAAGGACAACACAGAAATCAGAAGCTTAATCCTAAGAGAGCCAAGAGGACAAGGTCAAATGACAGCAACAAGGAGGACAACAAGTCACCTAAAGTCCAGACGCATGAGAGGCAAAGAATCTGGGTTTTAAAAATGAAAGGAAAAAAATGGGCTTTGGAAGTGGCAAGAAGGACACCAGCTTTCCACTGGTGGTCTTGTGATGCTGGACATAAGAGAAGTGCAGCTTCCACTGTTAAGGTGACAGGGAAAGCAGTGTCCTCAGGAAAAAAGAAAGAGGGCCTAGAAACACGCAGAGGTGAGATGACCATGGCTGTAGGGTTTCCTGGTCTTTTCATTTACTCCTGTCTTTCCATAATATTCTTGAAGAATGTCTCCTCTCTTCTCAAAGATATCCTGGTTTGGAAAAGAAGTAATGTGTTCTCCCTTCTTCAGCAGGGTAGAGGAGCATACAGCAAGTGCCGAGTACACAGTTCAAGATGTCGAGTCACATGATTCTCTTTCTGAGGTTCTCCCCTCTTTCAACAATGTAGACCACGTTCTGGCTTCACTCAACTGAAAGCTCCCTGGAGCCTTTGAGGTTCCATCTTGATTGCTGTGTTCTGCCCCCTTACCCTCCCCGTGGAGGAGGGTACATCTACCCGTGGATTGAGTACATCTTCCCGGGGACACCATTAGTGGCCATGAGGCATGCAAGAGCCTCCTTCAGAGGATAAGTTAGCCTTCTAGTGTGCCTGTTTTCCTCTTCAAAATTACAAATAAAGAATTAATGATAATATTACAGGCTCAGTTAATGAATAGAATGATTTTTTCTAATGGTGTTTGTAAGTAGGATCACAAGTCTGCATCTTGTACAGCAATTAACCACTAAGAAGAATATATGCAGTATATTATTTGTTGAAACTGTACTTTCGATTTGATTTGAAACTGTCTCATTGCTATATGTTTATCAATAAAACTTTGAAAAGAAAAAAAAATATTACAGGCTCAGGATGGCTCAAAATTTGGATGGATTGAGATGAAGAAATAGGAAGAATTATTTCACATTGAGCCATGAAGTTGACCTTTATTTTGCCTCTTAATTCAGGTGAGAAAAGTCATCAAATTCCATGAAAAATGATTTTGAAGTTTTGGAGAAAATTTATCTGAGAAAAGGCTTACCTTGGCAGTTTTATTCAGGAAGCTTCTGCCAAATGTCTTGAAGTTTTCATAGTTTATCTCATCTGAAGGCATCTTGTACCGGGCATCAGAGCTCAAGTTTAGGATTTGAACAGATGGGACAGCGAACTTTGTGACCTGGAAATACTCTAGGACATGTCTGCTTCTTTGTTCATCCACATCCACAACAATGAAGAGGATCTGCCAAAGCAAACAGAGCTGTTGTCTCTCCAGACCTTTTAGCAAAGACAGAAGTTAGTAGGAAGCTGTATGCTACTGGAATGTAAGTAGCAGGGACCCTGGAGCCCCTCTGAAGGACAGGATACAGGCTGCCTTCTGTCTGGCAGGTGCAATCTGACATCAAGTACACAGACAGGCAGCAGCTGCAGCCTGGCTTCCGTTTCCTGTGCTGTGCATATCCTCAGAACTTCACGAAGTCAGGAAATGCTGAGCTTTTGCTCTCATTCGGCACCTCAGTTTCCTTACCTATTAAATCATGATTATAATAGCGCCTACCTGAGAGGGTTGTGAGGATTAACCGGCACGTTGTATTATTCCATGATGAGCAGATTGAAAATGTTCAATACATGCCAACCCTTATTATTGTACAACATTACTCTACCAAGGAAAGCCATGTCTTCATTCAATTATTCATGCAATATTCATAGAGTGGCCACTAGGTACTAGGCATTGTACTAAGCCCTGGAGATACAACACTGCCCAAAGCAGACAAAATCCCCATCTCCATAGAGCTTACAGTCTAGTGGCGAAATCAGATAATAGATGATTCAGAAATAAGAGACATTTAGACGAGGGACAATGGGATAGAGCACACAGACGAGGGGAAGCAGGGGTGCAGTGAAGTCAAGGTGATTCGAGGAGAACAAATGGAGATGACATTTGAGCTGAGAGCTGGGTGATAAACAACAAGCCAGGAAATGGGGGTCTAGGAAGCAGAAATTGTGATACCAAAGGTCTGGCAGCAAAACAACAAAGGCCCAGGGTCCCAGGAATGGCCATGTGGCTCCAGCACTGTGAGGCAAGCAATTCCAGGAGATGAGGTCAGAGGTCCAGAAAGGAACTTGGGTTTAGTGTAAACGTAACAAGAAGCCAGTGAAGGACAGTAAGTCAGAGAGTGGTGCGATGATCATTTTGAAAGGGTCACCCTGGTGGAAGAGAAGAGTGGGAAGGCCATTTAGAAATCCCTGCAGACACCTGGTGTCAGATGCTTTCAGATTGTCCATCAAAAGATGAAGGTTCACACTGTATGCTAATCTTCCAGGCCTCAGAGGACCTTGAAGGACAAAGCAAGCTGGTTATGTCACCCCTAGATTTGGTATGCAAATATAGGTGCAGACCCCTCCTGGCTTAATTTATAATAAGCAGGGCAAGTAAAGGGCCTCAGCTCTGCACGTCTTGGGTCCCCATCCAAGAATCCCAGAAAGCAATGGCACAGTCTACAAACCTTGTTCTGGAATTCCTTGGAGGCCAACTTATAATGCTGAAGTATGACTCTATACGACTCAGACTTCCTGGAGACAAACAGCAGCATGTGATTTAAAATGTTCATTTCATAAATCAGATCCTTATTCTGAAATTACAAGGAAAACACGTTATCCAAGAACACACAGCCACCCCACTTAACCTTCTTCTGGGAACATTTTGCCCACAAACCTGAGTGTTATATTCAATCACAAAATCTGTCAGGTGCTTTCTTATGACTCCATTGAGGTCCTGTTTGTAGGTACTGTCATTAATAAGCTCTTGGCGGTTCACAACTCTCCCCTTGAGGGAAAGAAGAAAAACATTAGAGGGTAGTTAATAAATATAAATAGCATGATTTTCCCCTCGGATAAAAGAAAAACAAGGAGGTGTGGCAGGTGTAACACATAAGCCAGGCACTTAATGAATATGAATAACTGAGTAGATTAGCCTGTGGGTGGAATACGGACATGAGCTAGCTGCGAAAACCTCAGCTCTATAGTGACAGGCAGGATAATGGAGGGACAACCTCAGCTGTTGTGATTGAAATCCATCAGACAGTCCCTGCCGAGACTGAGTAGTCTCTGCCACGCTGCTGTTCATCAGTGGACAAGCACCAGGACATTGAGACAAACCCATTCCCAGACCATACAGACAGGCAACTCCAATGAGCATTCTTAGTGTTTCTTTGGCATGAAAGTTGCTTCCGACCAAACTTCCTCCCTCCTCTCCCTTCTTCCTCCCTTCTTTCTTCCTTTCTTCCTCCCTCCCTCCCTCCTTTCCTTCCTTCCTTTCTTCCTTCCTTCCTTCCAAAGGCTCCTCAGACCTTCATTGTGAGCTAAAGGATCTTCCCCATCTCCTTCTTTTCCTTCTGAGGTATTTTCCCTAGTAAATATTTTTTATCTTTTTTAAAAGAGAATAAAAAAAAATAATAAAGGGCTGGGGAGATAGTTCTGTGGTCTAAGCGCCTGCCTGGTAAGTGCAGGGACTCGGGTTCGATCCATGGTACCACATGCCGTGCCACCCATGAACTCTAGGCATGCTGTGCCAGACACTGAAACCCGGCATGGTGGTGCATCCCTGTAATCCCAGCACTGCGGAGGCTGAGACAGGAGGATACCTACGAGTTTGAGCTGCATAGTGAGACCCTGTACCAAATAAATAAATAAAAGTTTTTAAAGTAGTAATAATAATAATAATAATAATTTAAAAATATTAGAAATTATACAGAATTTCACTAAGCAAGATGATAGGGGGGGCGGGGAGATGGCTCAGTAGAATAAGCACTTGCCTGGCAAGCGCAAAGGTCTGAGTTCAATCCCCGGTTCTGCCAAAAAAAAAAAAATGGATGATAGGAATTCAACAATGGTTGTTGTATTGCATATCGTTGTCTTCAAATTAGTTGTTCAGATTACCAGATATAAGCATGCAAAATTGATCAAAAAAAATTTTTTTTTAAAGCATTCATTGTTCCTTTCTATGGACCAGTCGAAATCAGCAGCACAAGTAAATATTTTTGTATATCTAATCCTGCCTGGTAACTGTTCTGCAGGATGTTACCGGGGCCTAACTAAAGCAGGGCCTGGCATGATTCTTTGTAGCCCATGGAAGTCTGTAGGGGCAGGAGGAGCAGCTATCAGCTCCTTTCTACTCCATCTCCTGCTCTTAATCTCCACCCACGGCCCCTGTTCCAAACTTGTCCCCTGGACTCCCTGCCGTGGTCTCCACTGGGCCTCCCTTGCAATGCCTTCAACCCATGCCTGACACAATTCCAGCCAGAATGGCGATGTCAGGACACACATCTAATTATGTCAACTGTCCTCCAGATAAAGTCTCAATGTTTTACTGGCCATAACAGTCAAGTAAAACTAATTGGAGCGCTCACATAATTCTAGTTACCACATTAATCCTCACAGCATTCCATTGAACTATGATTTATTTGGCTTTACATATGAGGAAACTGAGGCACAGAGAAGTAGAATGACTGGTCCAAGGATTTTAGGCTAGTATAACGTAGAGCCACGACTGGTTGATTGATTGATTGATTGATTGATTGATTGATTGATTGAATGTTGCTAGGGACAGAGCCCTGGAACTGAAGCATGCTACCCATGGGCTCTACCACTGAGCTACTTGGTAGCACTGGAGCCAGGATTGAAATGTAGGGAATGTAGCTGTAGTGTTCATACTCTTACCTATTAAAATATATCCAATCTCTCTCAGATGTATTTTCCAAGTTTGCTGCTTGGCTTTTGATTTTTTTTTTTTTTTTTTTTTTTTTTTTTTTTGGTGGAACCGGGGATTGAACTCAGGCCCTTCCGCTTGCCCCAGAAGTGCTTATTCCACTGAGTCATCTCCCCAGCCCCTGGTTTTTTATTTTGTGGTGGGACTTACTCTGCAAAACTTTTAATTTTCACATGGTTCAAACATAGTAGTACTTTCTTTTCAGGGTTTCTTGTGTTGCTTTATAAAGGGGCTTCCCTAAACAAATCTAGAAAACAAACTCTCTCGGCATAGCCTGGGCTGTTGAGTGGCTTTGTGAGATCCTGACTCAAAATAAAAAATAAGAAAAGAACTAGGAATACAGTTTAGTGGTAAGACTCTAGGTTCAATCCCCAGTATGTAAAGCAAAGCAAATCTTCCATGGCATCTTCTGATGCTTCTGTGGTTACATTATTATTTTGGAGGGGTGAGTGGATCAAAGATCAGTCTGGAATTCAATTTGGTAGAAGGTATGATGTATGGAGACTGTTTCAGTTTTCCTTTTCCCCACATGACTGTCTAATTGCCTTACCACCATTTGTTCAGCAGCACATATTTTCCCCACTGCTTTAAAGAACCATCTTGCTCGCACACTAAGTTTCTACACGTGTCTGGGTTTATTTCTAGACTCTATGCTGTCCCACTCCAAAACATAAGCCTTCATTTCCCCCACTTAATGACTCAACAATTCCCATGAGCTCAGGATAAAACAGGCTGTGGCTTTCTCTGAAAGTCAGGTGGGTCTGGGCATCACTCTGTCTGTCCCACATGTTGTCTTGGAAAAGTCACTAAGCTCTGTCAGTTATATCTGCAAGTAGCAGAGCTACATGAAAAGGTGGCTTTGTGTGCTACAGGAATAAGGCATGTTCCACGAAGCAGACCATAGTGTCTAGAATGTTTAACAGAACCTTCTAGATGACAGAATGCTTTGTACATCTGGGTTGTCCAATACAAGAGCCACTAGCCCAGTCTGGCTGTGGAGCTCTTGCTATGTGGCTAGTGTGACTGATGAACAAAAGTTTTGATTTAATTAATTTTGATTTAAGTAATCACATTTGACCAGTGACTGCCACATTGGATAGCTCACATCTAGACCTTGGAGATGGAAGGAAAAGTGGAACTCAGTGAACTCAGGATGAGAAAGGTCTTGTGGACCTCATTACAGATTTATACCTTTAATCTAATAGAAACACATTACAGACTGTCAGAGAAGAGGAGAGATGTGACACAAGATTTGAATTGTGGGAAGACTGCTACCTCAAGGACCAGCATTATGTGGTTAACACAATGGGCTATGGGAGACGATGAACACTTGATGGTTGCAGATGTGCTGGTAAGTGGACACATACAAGGGGTGTCTGGGATAAGGAATCAGCATGACTGGGGAGAATCCCTGTTCCTGGGGACAGAGAAGATTAGGATGTTACTGGGCTTCCTGGTTTGCTTAGCTACAGGGGAGAGGTGGTGGTGCCATCCACTGAGAGACCAGTAGCACAGGAGAGAACTCAGAGAGAAGACTGTGACTGTGAGCACAGCCATTTGGTACTGCTGTCAAGATCTAGAGATGAGGGTTGGAAGTGGATGTGTATGGGACATGGGCTACGGGCAGCACTTGCTGAGGATGGACGGAGAAGCATGAGTCAGAAGGAAAACAGGCACACACTGAGCCTGAGACTGAGCCACAGTGAGCTCCACTGACTGATTAAAGCAAGAAGCAAAGACTAGGCATGACGGTGGCTGTCTGTAATCCTGGTGCTCTAGGAGGCTGAGGCAGGTGGATCACAAATTTGAGCCAAGCCCAGGCAATTTAGTAACTTAGCACAACCCTGTCTCAAAATAAAAAAGTTTGAGGACGGAGCTTGGTGTAAAGACCATGGTAAAAGCAAAAGAAAAAAAGAGGAGTAGGAAGTTGCAATAGCAAATGGCTAGAAAAGCCAGAGAAACACAAAGAAAATGAGATGTCACAAAGGTCAGCTAGCCCCAGCTTATACCCAAAGCCTATACACTCCCCTACTTAGAACTTCAGACTGCCCACAACAAATGTCCTACCTTTTTGAATACGAGGACACTGTCAAGGACCACATGGAAACGTCCAATGGCATTTTTTATCGCCACCACTCCAAATGTAAGCTCGGGGAAGTCCTTGATCACATCATAGAACATTTCTGCTACTTCTTCCTCCAAATCCTGTTTAGGAAAAAGTTTTGCTAGGCTTTAGTAGAAAACAAAACTGTTTGGCTTGTTTGAGGGGAAGATGGCAATAGTGGTTCATCTGTCCTTTCACTTCTCCAAGTTTCAGAAACGTATTCCTGGTCATCCCATTCCTTCTCATGGATATTTCATGCCTAGCTGCTCTGGCTATGACTAAAGTCAAATAGGCGACTCTTTAGATATCGATGCAGAGAACTGGTTGTCTTCATCTTTTCCACTTATTAAGATAAAAGCTAGTCTAACCTATGGATTAAGAAATTTTTGACATTAATTCCTTAACTACTTTCAGGAGACGCAATTGATTTGATCTCATGTAGTGCCAAATGTAGACAGTATGAAAGATGGCTAGAATCTCAACCTTTATTCTTTAATTCTCTCTTGAAATGAAATTTGGCCAAAAATACTGGGAAGGGAAAGGAAAAGAGGCACATATGTTTTGCATGTATGAACACAATGCCAAAGTTATGGGTTCTGATGTGAGAAGGAGAAAAGTCATCAATTTAACATAAGTGACGAGTTGGGGATATAGCTCAGTGACACAGCATCTGCCTGGTAAGTGCAAGGTCCTAAGTTCTATTCCTGATGAATGAATTAATGAATTAATGAATTAATAAAATGGGGCTGAGCATTCAGGAGGCTGAGCAGGAGGATCACTGAGAGATTGAGGCCAGCCTCGGCTACAAAGTGAGTTCAAGGTCAACCTTAACTGCATAGTGAAATTATCTCAAAAAGACAAAAAAAAAAAAACCCAAATGAGTTAAGATGCATCAGAAATTCATTTTCTATAAGCAAAACCAATCTTTAGATGATTTATAAACATATAAAATAAAAGCAATAGAAAACTTATGAAACATTTCATAATTATATCTTGTAATTTGTGCCCATTCCTCCACTACACACCTGAGGAGAGTTGGCATCTTTGCAGATGAGTATATGTTAATGAATTATGAACACACATTTTTTTTTGCAGAACCGGAGATTGAGCTCAGGCCCTTGTACTTGCCAGGCAAGTGCTTATTCTACTGAGCTATCTCCCCAGCCCCCGCTGATGAATTGTGAAAGGTCTTAGTTTATATGGAGGTAGGTGGGGAAGAATGGACCAATGATGGAAAGAGGCTAGCGATGGAGGCTGATCTGGTCCAGGTATGTCAGGATCATAGAAAACAATGGCTCTCAAATTAGAAAAAAACCAAAACAATCTCCCTTTATTCTGTGATGTTCTGAAAAGACCCCCACAAAAGGAGTAGTTTCACTTTTAAACCAATTAAATAAGTATGTCACTTTCCTCTCTCTTCTTTCCATTCCTGTCTATCTCTCTACCATCTCTTACCACTTCTGCTTCCACTTTGTCTTCTTGCAATTGCATCATGGAGCTCCCTTAGAAAATCTGCCCAGACGATGGGGAAAATTGGGCATGGGACAGCACTTGTGACTGAGGCTTTTCACCTCACCTCTTCCCAGACACAATCTCCTCATGGGTTGAAAAGTCACCTCCTCCCTCTTGACCTTAGTACCTGGAAGAAACCAATGATGACCACAGGCCTGGATTGCACAAAATTTGCCACTTGCAGGCTGTTGTTGAACAAAAATGCTTTCTGGCTAATTTGTCTTCTCAACCAAACCACCAAGGCTGCAGATTCAACCACTCCTGGAGAGGGAGGGAAGGGGGTAGAGAGATTGGATCTTGTTAGCTGAAGCAGGACTTATCTTCGCCAAGCACTGAAAGACAAGGTCAGTTTCTCCATTCCAGTTCTCCCCCAGGCTCCAAGGTATGAATATTCATAGCAGCAGATAAATTTCACTGAGCTCTTTCCAGGAGCCTGACACTGGGATGAATGTTTAGTTGACTTGTATGAAACTTCATAACAACTTTACAGGACAGACAGTCTTACCCTCCCCATTTTACAGATCAGGAAACCAAAGTTCAATTTTCTGATAGCAAATCAACTAGTGAACTTGGGTATCAAACTTAGGAGGAAATAGTCCAAATCTTCCTTCATTTTGTACCTTCCAAGGTGACAGAAAAATGAATTTATGTCCTTGAAATAGAAATATACCTCTGTGACCTTAGGTAAATCTCATTATTGCTCTAGGAGACTAACTCCCTAGCCGTGACTCAACTGCCCTCTAAGGTCATATATCCTGACTTTTATTTCTTGTCTGTGGTATGGAAGGTGTCAAGCACACAACAGTCTTACCTTTTAAGACTGGAAATACATGTGCTGTGTCTGGAAAGAAAAAAGCAGTGAACCAGGATGTGCACAGGCCTATGTACAGATGGACATGTGCTTCCAATTTCATGTGGCATCAAGTAATGCACATTATAATTTCATAGTCTATCAGTTTATATCAATGTCGCTATAGAACAGAAAGGAGTATCTTAAATGAATGTATGAGATAAAGGAATGTTTTAAATAGCTTTAGGATACATCCACAGACATTTATTCATTCACTCATTCATTTCTTTATTTTTTTTAAGGATGCACTAATTGCTTTTTATGTTAAGTAAGTAGCAGTGCTATGCTTAGTCCTGGGGTGTGACTGTGGGCAGAAACAAGCACAGCACACTGCTTTTCAGCACTCATTCTACTGAGGGAGACAATCATCAAGTAACGACACAAACAAGTCTATTATCCCACTCAAAGCAAAGTTCTATGAACCCCTAACAAAGACCTGTGACCTAGATGGTAAATTCAAGGAGGGCTTTCTGAGCTGCAAACCGGTGGATGTGCTGGAG